TAGTCTGATTAGAGCTTGACACAAAAGCTCGAAGTGACATCACCTAACAGAAATTAATTCGGTGTTTGAGTATCAATCCTACCACTCACATCTTCTGATTTTGAAGCAAGAAATTTGCTTTTTTAAAAAAAATACAAGTTTGGGGGCCTCCTGGGTGGGTCAGTCAATTAAGTGTCTAGCTACGGCTTAGGTGATAATCTCAAGGGTTTATGAGATCAAGCTCTGCCGTTGGCAGCACGGAGCTTGCTTGGGATTCTCTCTCCGCTGCACTGTTTCCCCCTCTCTCTGCCCCTCCCTCACCTGTGCTGTCTCTGTCTCTCTCAAAATAAATAAATAAACTTAAAAAAAATACAAGTCTTTGAAATTTTAACTATCCATAAAATGGAAGGACACAAAAATAGAGCAATAATATGGAAGTAGAATTAAATCTTTTCTTCATTCGGCATCCCAGCGACAACCCTACAGTCACCCATGTATTGTGATTTGCAGTCAGAAAGCGATATGCAGCAATGCAAACTCAGTTTTCATCTCTGCTGGATCCTACATTTGGATGGGAGAGAACAGCAATTAAAAATAGATCAACATAAAATTGTACCTTTGATAAAAGCAGTGAAGCAAAGACAAATGTTTTTCATAAGGAAGGGGAATAGCTGATAGGAAATAAAGAACATTAAAGAGAAAGTTTCCTAAGGAATGTACCACTGGACTGGTACAGCACAGGGAGGGGAGTGGATGGTGCAAATGTTTGCATCTGATGTAAGAGGAGTTTACAACACAGGATGAGATCCTTTGTATGGATTCCTGTATGTCTCTTCTATTTCATTCACTTTATTCTCAACTTTTCCTAATATTTTGTTATTTATTTTGAGAGACAGAGAGAGAGCACAAGCAGAGGAGGGGCAGAGGGAGAGGGAGAATCCCAAGCAGGCTGTGTGCTGTCGGTAAAGAGCCCAAGGAGGGCTCGATCCCACAAACCATGAGATCATGACCTGAGCCAAAATGAAGTCAAACACTTAACCGACTGAGCCATCCAATTGCCTCTAAAATTGAACATTTTTAAATGTTATTTTTTTAATGTTTTATTTCTAGGAGAGAGAGAGAGAGAGAGCATGAGCAGGGGAGGGTCAGAGAGAGAGGGAGTCACAGACTCCGAAACAGGCTCCAGGCTCTGACCTGGCAGTCAGCACAGAGCCCGACGCGGGGCCCGAACCCACGAACCGCGAGATCATGACCTAAGCAAAGTCGGACGCTTAACCGACTAAGCCACCCAGGCGCCCCTAAAATTGAACATTTTTATTGAAGTGTAGTGCACATACAGAAAAATGAAAAAGTGGAAGTAGATAGCTTAGTGGATTTTTACAGGGAAACAGTCCTGCATAAACTATCTCCAAGATCAAGAGGTGGAGGGGTGCCTGGCTGGCTCAGCTGATAGAGTACATGACTCCGGATTTCAGGGTCATGACTTCAAGCCCCACGTAGGGTGTGGAGCCTACTTAAAACAAACAAGCAAAAAGACCAAGAGGTGAAATGTTGCCAGCTAGAACTGGGATTCTAGCATCCCAGGAATTCTATTTAGCTCTGGGATGGGGTCCTCTAATCTAGCCCTCCATTTATGTTCCTATCCCAGTATCTACTATGGTTCCCAAAAGTAACTGACATCCTAAATAATATTGACAGTATTTGTATGCTTTTTCACCTTTTTTTTTTTTTTTTCCTTTTTTCAAATGAGCTCGACACCCAGTGTGGCGCTTGAACTCATGACCCTGAGATCAAGAGTCTCATACTCTACGGACTGAGCCAGCCAGGCACCCCTTGTATGCTTTTGAAATAACATAAATGGGAATAAACAAAATGTATTTTTTCATTTCTGCATTATTTCTTTCAACATGCTTATGGTTATTCTGTGTTGCGTGAAAATAGTGCATTCATTTTCATCACTATCAAATATGACTCTGAATTATTGATAGTCTACCCTCTTTAGTGTTGGACACTTAGATTGCTTATAATACGGGAATATTGTGAATTATGATGATATAAACACTCTCATATGTCTTTGATGCACATGAGTAGATTTTTCTGTTGAATATATGCCCTGGACTAATACTGGTGAGTTACATCATGGAGAATACATCAATACAGATCTCGTAGATACTAGTCAAAACATGTCCACAGTGAGTACTCACCAACAGAGATTGAGACTTTGAGGCATTCCAATCCATGCTGACAATGATTTTTCTCATTCTGGCAGGTATTTCTTGGCATGTTATTATAGCTTTTCTTTAAGTTTATTCATTTAGTTTTGAGAGAGAGCTAGAAAGAGTGTGCATGTGGGCTGGGGAGTGGCAGAGAGAGAGGGAGAGAGAGAATCCCAAGCTGTTAGCGCAGAGCCCCATGCAGGACTCCATCAGTAATTTCGAGATCATGACCTGACCCCAAACCGAGAGTTGGAGCGTTTAACTGACTGAATCATCCAGGTGCCCTTGTAGTTTCATTTTAAGATATCTGATTTTAACAAGGACTTGTGGTCATTTTTCTATAAGACAATTCTCGTTTTTATTGATTTGAAGTTCTCTGTAAACTTATTCTGTGTTTTGCATACATATTGAAAATGTCTTCTATACTGGGCTGCATTTTTTTATTTTATTATTTTATTTTTTTAAATGTTTTATTCATTTCTAGGAGAGAGAGAGAGAGAGAGAGAACGCATGAGCAGGGGAGGGTCAGAGAGAGAGGGAGTCACAGACTGAAACAGGCTCCAGGCTCTGAGCTGGCAGTCAGCACAGAGCCCGAGGTGGGGCTCGAACCCACAAACCGCGAGATCATGACCTAAGTGAAAGTCAGACGCTTAACCGACTAAGCCACCCAGGCGCCCCAGGGCTGCATTTTTTAACTGAATGAACAACTTTACTTGTTAAACAGTAGTTCTCATTTTAATGTAGTCCAGTATGTCGGTCTTTTCCTTGGAAAAGGAACTCAATTTCCTGCTGAGTTCTTACTGTATTGTATTTAAAATACCATTTTCTACTACAAGTTCTTAAATATATTCTTCCAAGTGGTCTTCTAGAAGCTTTATTTTACATTTCTGAGATTTTTTAAAATGTTTATTTATTTTTGAGAGAGAAAGAGAGAGAACATGAGCACAGGAGGGGCAAAGAGAGGAGACACAGAATCTGAAGCAGCCCCAGGCTCTGAGCTGTCAGCACAGAGCCTGACACGGGGCTCAAACCCACAAGCTGTGAGATCATGACCCAAGCTGAAGTCGGACGCTTAACCGACTGAGCCACCCAGACACACCTACATTTCTGAGATTTTAAAAATTCATCTAGAACTAATTTTTGTAAATGAGGTAGGATGGGGGTCAGGATGAATTTTTCCCTTTCTGAATATTCAGTTGACCTAGCACCACTTACTAAAGAAAAAAGAGCCTTTCCTCCCTGCACACGTACTTCAGTGTTGTGTTTTATTGAAAGCAAGTGACGGTATAGATGTCAGTCTATATCAGGATAACATTCTGTTCTGTTGCCTTATCTGTCTGTCCTTGTGCCATGATGATGGTCTTAATGAATATAATCTCATAATCAACTTTGTTTTTTGATTATGTAAATCCTGAAATATTGTTATTCTTCAGAATTGTCTGGGCTATTTTTAGCTTGTTTATGTCTGTAATTTTAGAATCAGCTGTCAATTTTCTCACACATACACATAAACAAAAGCCACTTGCTGGATTTCCAATGGCATAGCATTGAATTTACAGAGCAACTGGGGATAATTGATGTTTCCCAATTGGAACTGAGTCTTGCAATTCACAAGCACGGCTGTCCTTTATACATATGATATTTATTAATATTGTGTATTTCTGGGGGCACCTGGGTGCCTCCGTCGGTTAAGTGTCCAACTTCAGCTCAGGTCTTGATCTCACATTTCATGGGTTTGAGCCCCACGTCGGGCTCTGTGCTGACAGCTCCGAGCCTGGAGCCTGCTTTGGATTCTGTGTCTCCCTCTCTCTCTGCCCCTTCCCTGCTCACACTGTGTGTCTCTCTCTCTCAAAAGTAAATAATAAACATTAAAAAATATTGTGTATTTCTGTAGAGGGCTTGTAAATTTTCATTGGATTTTTTTCTTAAATATTTGATGTTTAATCATAATATATATCATTGAGGGATTTTTTTTAATTTTAATTTTAAGCTGTTTGTGTTATTATAGAATCCAATTGATTTTGGTAAATTGGTCTTGTATCAGACATTTTGCAAATATTCACCTTGTCTAAGATTTGTAGAATATTTGGTCCTTTCTTGGAAACAAAAATCAGGAAATGTATAAATAATGATATTTGATACATTTTCTTGCCTGTTTTACTGCTTGAAGAGTAGTCCAATACTGCATAGAGTTGAAAGTGGCCCTCCACCTCTCAATTTCAATGAAAAAATTTCTAAGGATAATTTTTGCTGTATTTTGTAGACTTTATAGCATCAGGGAAGTTCTCTTTCTTCCTTGCTTACTAAGTGTCTTTTTTGGTAATGAGCACTGACTTTTATGAAGCACTTTTAATGTACCCAAGAAGATGATCATATTGTATTTTCCTAAATTCTATTCATATGGTAAATTACATTGATATTTTTAAATTTTAACCCAACTTCTCATTTGAAAAGTAAACCCCACTTGTTTTGTGATCTATATTATTCTCTTTATATGTCACTGGATTTGATTTACAAACTTTGCTTTCTGTGAGACATCCTGACCTGTAGTGCATCTTTCTTTGATGCACTTGCAAAATTTTGTTATCAAGGAACTGCTGAACTAAAAGGGGAGTGGTCCTACTTTTTTATGTTCTGGGAGAGTCTATGTAAGATTAGACTTCTTTCTCTCTTAAATGTCTAGTAGAATTTACCCATGAGCTTATTTGAAACTGAATTTTTTAAAAATTATGGCAGTGCTGAAATTAATTATATACTTCTTCTATTTCTAGCTTGCACTCTTCAAGTGTCTACCAGTTGGTGAAACAGATCTCCAGAGAAACAAGTCAGTAGGAATTGAATACCTAAAGTTGAATCTCTCTGAGAATTCTTGTTAAGAATGGCTTTAGATCTCAGGATCTCACATAAGGGAAAACTACCTAGGAATGATCCTGGGTCAGAAAACCGAGAGCATAAACCCCGCCAAGGACCAGCAATTGAAGAGGAAGAACTCTATGAGTTCCCAAACACTCAGCTCAGCTTATTTCAAAATAGTAACAACTCATGTGCAAGGCAGGAACTGCAAAATCTCTATAAATTATTTTACTCATGGCTGCAGCCAGAAAAACACAGCAAAAATGAAATTATTTCTCGTTTGGTGCTGGAACAGTTCATGATCAATGGCCACTGCAGTGACAGGTCCATGCTGAAAGAGAAATGGAATTCAAGTGGCAGAAACATGGAGAAATTGATGGAAGATCTGACTGACGACGGCATGAAGCCACCTGGATTAGTGAGTAAAGGGTTTTGACTCCTGGGGTGAGAGGCAGAGGTGTGCAAGGATTAAGTACAACCTGTTGGAGTTGCCTGGAAGTAGAGAAAGAAGAGTATTGTAGACCCACTTACTAGTTCTCACCAAATAGACTCTTTACTATTGCTAAGCAAGAAAATTGAAAGCGGATGCTTTACAGGCATCTAGTCAGTAGGAAATAAAAGAGCCAATATATTAATTGATTATAGCCAGTGAGATGGTAGGAAGGCTCAGTAAGAAACTGATGATAGAGCAGAAACCTCGAGAATGGGAAGAAGTGCCATAATACGAGCTCACTCTTCCCTCAGAAAGCCTTAGTATTAGTCTTTTCTCATACAGAAAGACACAGTAACAAGAAATTACCACGAAATGTAAGGCCAGCAGAGATAAGAGCAAACAGTGGCGGCGGGGGGGGGGGGGGGGGGGNAATCAGGTGGCAGAAACCTGGAGAAATTCATGAAAGATCTGAGTGATGGTTGCATGAAGCCACCCGGCTTAGTGAGTACAAAGTTCTTCCCCATGGAGTGAAGGGCCAAAAAGAGTAAGGGACAGTCAGTAGGCGATAGCTGGCAGTAGCGAAAGAAGTTACTGTAGACCCAGTCAGTAGTCAGGTCACTCTTCCTCACCAAGGAGAATCTTTACCAACCTAACTGAGCAAAAATAAAAAGTGTTATAGAGTCATTCCTTGTAGGATACATAGGAACCAGTATACTAATTTATTTAATTGAGTTTTATTGATGAGGTGGTGGTAGGAACTCAGAGTCAGCTGGGAAAAAAAACCTCAAGGGTGAGGAGAAATGCCTTGACAAGAGCTGCCTTTTCCCTCAGAAAGCTTTCGTATTCATTTTTTTTTCATTACAGAAGACACACTAATGCAGAATATATAACAATGATCATTGCTTTTTTTGTTTTTGTAACAGGTCCATGTCCGCATGCAGGGACAGGAAGCCCTCTTTTCTGAGAATATGCCCCTAAGAGAAGTCATTGTTCATTTCGGCAAACAGTTGTCAGCAGGAACCCCAACAGGAGAGAACACGGGGACACCCTCCTGTGCTCCCCGGGATTCTGCCCTGGAAACAGGACAAGGTGAGTGGGGTAAGCCAAGGTAGCAGAGGGATGTTCTGTGTGGACTCCTTCCCGGGTACAACTTCACTCAGTCACATTTTTCCCCTCACAGGAGATGAAGATAAAGAAAATGGTGGCAACACTGACCAAGTAAATGGCAGCGTCACTAGTCAAGGCAATGAAATCCCTTCCCTACTCGTTATCCAGGAAGAGGATCGTCCTAGGCCTGAAGATGACTGTGTCTCTTTGAAGAATCCACTCAGCTCTGGAAGAGCAGGTCTAGGTCCCTCCGGGTCCCAGGAGGGGTCCCTGGAAGGACCCCCACATCAAGACGTGCTTATGGAAGTGGGACCAGGGTCTCTCTCTCCACCAATACAGGTCACCCCCGAGCCTCTTCCTACCCACCAGCATGAGGGAACCTCCACATGTGAGGGACACCAAGAAAGATCCCATGAGGCCCCCAAATCATACAGATGTGAACAGTGTCCCAAGATCTTTAGGTATTTCTCTCAGCTAAAAGCCCATCAGAGAAGACACAATAACGAGAGGCCATTTATCTGTGCTGAGTGTAACAAAGGCTTCTTCCAAGCGTCAGACCTACGTGTGCACCAGATGATTCACGCAAGAGAGAAGGCTTTCACATGCAGCACGTGTGAAAAGTCCTTCAGCCACAAAACCAACCTTAAGGCTCATGAGAGAATCCACACGGGAGACAGGCCCTATTCATGTTCCCTTTGCCAGAGAAGCTACCGCCAGTCATCCACCTACCACCGCCACCTGAGGACTCACCAGAAGATGGCCTTAAAAAGTGCTGCTTCCACGCCAGAAGCTTCCTCAGATGCAGCCCCAAAGTAATGTTCATAAATGTATATGCATGTATATTTCCATAGCACTTCTCCATTTATATCATAATTTATAATTTCCTGATTGTATTTTCCATTTACTGTCTTACTCCATTAAAATGTAAGTTTAAGGAGGTCATGGAATTTCTCAGTTTGCTCACTAAAGTCTCTCAGATGCCTAAAAAGTGGCTGCCAGATTTCAAAAGACCAATGAGTAATCTGTTGAATTAATGAATGAAGGTGTAATGTTGGTGTTTAGTCCTTAAAATCCAGGAATGTCCAGCCCCAGGACACAAACAGCAGCTCCTAGTGGTCAAGTGAGGCTTTCCTTCCTGCCCCCTGTCCTCGGTCCACACCCTTACCTTTAGTGGGTCACATGTACCAAAAAAGGGGGAGAGTGCAGGCAGAAACCCTCAGAAATTGGCCTGAGCTATGAACGGGAACCTTTATGTTCAAATGAAGGATTTCTTTAATTCAATGGAAACATTAACAGCTAGACTGTACCTGATATGACTGGCAGCAGAAAGCTGCAGAATCCTATTTTATTGACAAATCATTGCCCAAAAAAGTCAAATACTTTGCATTCATTTCTTCCAGAGATAGAAGATATGGGGGATGGGGAGCTTATTTGCAGAACGAGTGTGAAGGGGGAGTTGGGAGGGAAGAAAAGATTCTGTGCACAGCTTAGGCAAAAGCACATTTACTGGTTATTTGGAATACACTTGTGAACCGGTTTCCTCTAGGAAATTGGGGCTCATTCACACTGAGAAACCAGAAGCATGTGTAGAAATGGCTTGAATCATGGAAGGGGGTATTCTGTGGGGTATACTGTGACATCCCTTTCACTCGGTCTGTAGTAGACAGGGCTGTGCGGCTGCAGATGTTGCTCACTGTGTGGGGAAGCACATCCGCCAGTCCTCTCTCCTGGGCTGTCTGCATGGGTTTGCTATTGTCAGTATTCTTGCACATACCGCTTGGTACAAGGGGAAGCTTTTGTTTGTGGAGACCTCTGTGAGGGGGATTATGAAATAATAGAAAATATATATGTTGGGAGGTGCCTGCGTTATGTGGCCAACTCTTGGTTTCAGCTCCTGATTTCACAGTTCACAAAATCGAGCCCAATGTTGGGCTCTGTGCTGAGAGTGTGGAGCCTGCTTGGGATTCTCTTTCTCTCCCCTTCTCTCTCTGCCCCTCCCCTGCTTATACATACATGCTCTCTCTCTCTCTCAAAAGAAATAAACATTAAAAAGGAAGAAGAATCTATGCTTAAAAAATATATTGAAAATAAATATGTTTGTCTCTGTCCCCAGTTCCTGGCACAGAGCTCCTAAAATCCTTGCTATTTCCTTTTTGTTTTTTATTTTTTAAATGTTTCTATTTATTCTTGAGAGAGATAAAGAGTGTTCTCATAAGAACGTGGGAGGGGCAGAGAGAGAGGGAGGCAGAGGATTTGAAGCAGGGTCTGCACTGACAGCAGAGAGTCCAGTGCGGGGCTCAAACTCATGAGCCATGAGATCATGACCTGAGCCCAAGTTGGATGCTTAACTGATTGAGCCACCCAGGTGCTTCTATCCTTGTAATTTCTTAAGTGATGACAGCACTAGAAGCACCTTTTGTTCTAATATTTGGTCTTTGATGCTGGTTCCTCATACAGAACCCCCAAATCCTTTGTAATTTCCTGGGTGATAGGAATGTCTTTCATTTCAATGATGCAACTGCTGGATAGCTTCAGGACGGGGGTTGGTCACCAAAAAGACCAAGCCATGAGTAGAAGCTTGGAAATTTCTGCCCCATCCTCCAGAAGTGGAGAGGGGCTGGAGATTGAGTTAATGGTCAATCATGGCACACCAAGTTTGGAGAACTTGGTGAACACCCAGGGACCAGGAGGGTGGCACACCCCTAAGTCCATGGGGACAGGACCTCATGTGCTGGGGACCCTTCTAGATCTCGCCACAGCCTGGCAGCTTACAAAGGCACAAGTACTCACAGAGACTCATGAGACAGGCATGTCCCAGGGATGCCCAAACAAGATACAGAATTGCACAGTCCCCAGGGACCAATTGTGATGAAGAGGATGGGTATGAAGATAGTCTGGCTTCGAGAAAACAACCTATCCCATCTGCAGATGTGGCGATGTACCGGGGGGAGAACAGAAAGTTGGGTGCACACCTTGGAATAGCCTGGAGGCTCATACAGATTTGAAGACTCACAGGTGGTCAGGGAGAGCCCAGCTGGAGCCTAGAAGCCTTTACACAGAAATGTTTGCCCCCATGGCTGAGAAGCCTCAGTCTAGTTGGGACAGGAAGGTGGGAGATTTATGGGCTTTACAGGAGCAGTGGGAACTTTCTAGCAGGTCAGCAGCCATGGTTTGGACAATCTGCAATTTACCAACAATGGTGAGGAAGAGCTGTAAGGGCCAGAGTCTCTTGCAAGAGCTATGGGCAGGGAGGGGTGAAGGCTTCGGTGGCTGCTCTCAGTCCTCCAAGGCCTCACAACGTCCACAATAGTGACAGTGATAACTGGGTGACAGCTCATATGGGGGCACAGAGTGGAGGTGTCACCCAGAAGCCATAGTTAGGCTTTCTCCCAAGGGGAGGAATGACTGCCGATGGTGATGAGGGGGCAGGATGGTCTGCTGTGACACCGCTGACCTGGAGAGAAGTCGGGATGGGATTACTCAGTGGTCCCAGGCTCCACAGACAGTGTGGCAGTGGAGGAATCTGGGCATCCTGCCCCGAGTCCTGGGCAATTTCTGCTGGAGAAGGACAGGAGGGAACGAGGTGAGTAAGTCCAGCAGCGTGTAGACTAACCCTCCCCAGCTCCACTGGGTGGTAGCTGTGCAGGCTTGTGGAAGTCCCTTGGCCTCTGAGTGAAAGATACCTCCTTGGAAAAGCAGAATAATAGTCCCTGCGCACCAGATGGTTTGGGGGCTATTAAATGAGATAGTCCTCAAGAGATCCATCAGCACTAGGTCCCCATGAAAATATGAGTGGGGGCTCTCGGCAAAAGGGGAAGTGGGTGTGTGTCTGCAGAGTGTCCCAGAAGGCCTGGAAAGGGCCCATGGCCTGAGGCAACTCCGAGCCTGGGGCCTACGGTGAACCTCAGAGGCACGTCAGGGGCTCCCCGAGACCCTGGCCTACTGGGGGCTCCAGAGGCAAGCATTGGGGACTCTACTTGCTGGCTGTTAGCAGTTTTCTTGTAGAGCAAAGCACCTGCCAAGGAGCAATCCTAGACTTGTTCAGACGTGATGACCACCAAATGTGACCTTTCTCCACTTTTCCTCTCATCAAATGCTAAAAATTATGCCCCAAAGGGGAGATGTAACATACAAATGAAACAGGATGTATGAAGAAGCATGTTCTGTCAAAGGCACATGGGCGCCCAATGTCTTGTGTTTCCCCACCCATGCTAGGTGCCACTCCTGTCCCCCCTCAGTTCTTTAAAAATTTCCCTGACTGTTGCTCCAGGGGCCAGTCTGACACCTTTGTCATGACTGTGTCTCCCTTCAGCTGCAGCTACTGTCCCAGTAAAGCTTTGTGTTTTAAAACCATTTTTTTTTAAAGTTTATTTATTGTGGGAGAGAGAGAGAGTGGGTAGGGGCAGAGAGAAGGAGAGAGAATCCCAAGCAGGCTCTGCACTGTCAGCACAGAGCCCGACACAGGGCTCGAACTCACAAACTGTGAGATCATGACCTGAGCTGAAGTCAGACGCCCAACTGACTGAGCCACCCAGGTGCCCCTGTTACTGAGTTTTAAAAGGACAATAGTATAAGATTAGGTAATTATATCATATGTATATTTATGTATTCTGCTCTCTGAATGGTTTTCAAACATCTTTAAATTTTCTGGCCACTTTTCATACAGCAAATTATAGATTATACATGATGAATTGTTGTTTCTTTATTTTTAAGAGAAGAATGTTTGTGCACAGTTTCTTCCAGAGGAAATTAACCCTTAATAGAATTTCAGTAAATGAATATATGTCGTATTTAAAACATACAATGTTATTTTCAATCTAGTTAGCATGTTGATCATTTCTCAGACATTTTTCATGTGTTTATCATTATTTTTCCTTTAAGCATTACCATTCACAGGGTGCATCTGCCTGGCTTAGACAGTTTGATGAGGGACCTTAAGGCAAGCTGAAGGCCAAGCACAAGCTAGCACATCCCTACCCCACCCAGGTGGGATATGTGTGACATTCCTCGGGCACTCCTGGCTGCCCAAGAACAAAGGAAAGGACAGAAGACAAAAGCTTAAATTGATAGAGTCTCTATCAGTTTACAAAGATCTCACCCATAGCCTAATCTCCAGGAACTCCCCACTGTCTTAATGATAATGCTTTGCTAGAGAGAAAAACAACCTCAGTGTGACAATAGCTAGGCTTCCCGTAATCTCTAAATCCTCTTTAGCATATGGAAATCCCTTTAAGAAATTTCCTCTCCGCTTTACCTCCCCCAACTCCACCGTATATAAGCAGTCTGCACAGCCCCAGTGCAGCTTTTCTGGCCTACGGGTCCTGTTCCGTGCTTTAAAAAAAATCACCTTTTTGCACCAAAGATGTCTTCAAAAATTCTTTCTTGGCTATCGGCTCTGAACCCCACCATCACCCCAAAACCCCATTTGGTAGAGCCTCTAACTCATTTTTTTTTTAAGTTTATTTCTTTATTTAGGGGGAAGGGCCAGAGAGAGAGAGAGAGAGAAAGAGAAAGAGAGAGAGAGAGAAAGAATCCCAAGCAGGCTCCATTCAGTGCACAGCCTGATGCTGGGCTCAGTTCCACGACTTGGAGATCACCACCTGAGATGATATCAAGAGTGAGACGAGACGCTTAACTGAATGAGCCACCAAGGTGCCCCAAGCCTCTGACTCTTGATTTCAGCTCAGGTCATGATCCCAGGATCATGGGATCCAGCAGTGAGTTGGGCTCCATTCTGAGTGTGGAGCCTTAAGATTCTCTCTCTCTTCCTCTCCCCCTCTCCCCTGCTCAGACTCTGGCTCACTCTCTGTCTCAAAAAAAAAGAATTACCATCCACATCCATTGCCAGTCTTATCTGGTGTTTTACCAATGTGATTAGTTACAGCACTGAGATTGCACGGTCTGTTATGACTTCTCACACCTAAATTTTATGTTTGTTTATTTATTTGACAGAAAGAGAAAGAGAGAGCATGCGCAGGGGAAGGGCAGAGCATGCGGGAGAGAGAGAGTCTCCAGCAGGCTCTGCACTGTCAGCACATGGAACCCAATGTGAGGCTCTATCTCACAAGGGTGAGATAATGACCTGGGCAGAAATTAAGAGCCAAATGCATAACGACTGATGCACCCAAATGATCCTCACACACAATTTTTTTTTACATTTTTATTTTTAATTTGTTTTGTTATGTTTTGTTACATTTCACCTTTAAGTAAATTTTTACTTTTATGGATTCAAATATGCCAATTATTATTATGTCTTCCTATTCACACTTACAAACGTTTTATTTATTTTTGTGAGAGAGCAAGCGAGCGGAGAGGGGCAGAAAGAGGGAGACACAGAATCTGAAGCAAGTTTCATGCTCAGAGCTCTCAGCACAGAGCCTGACTAGGGCCTGAACTCACGAGCCATGAGATCATGACCTGAGCCAAAGCTGGATGCTAACTGACTGAGCCACTGAGGTGCCCCTCTTCCTATTCACACTTAGTGATGATTTGTCCAGTCCAAGATTATAAAAATCTGCTCTAATACACTTATATTGGATATTTGCTTTTCTTGACATTTGAATCATTATTTACTAGCTCTAAGAGCTAAACATGTTTCTACTTTATTTTAAGATCTAAGATGGGACCTGAAATTTTCCTTTAATGTTTTCAGTGAAATCTCCAAATATTTTAATAGTCTTATTAAAAAATTTTCCACAACAAATTAATAAATGACTTTCCTCAGATATTAATTCCTAGAAATTATCTGAGATCTATTTCTAAACATGTCTTATTCTTGGACTTGCTAATAACCTATGGGTAATAGAGTTTACAAACAGGAAGACAAGCTTTCTTCATTGCACTTGGTTTTATTTTTTGAAATTTTTGTATTTCTGCAATTAGCAGATGAACTTCAGAAACCTTAACGTTTTGACTGAAATTTCATTAAATATGGTACTTATATTTTCAAAGTGCTTCATTTACCATGAAAGACTTTCTATTCAGCCCTGAAGTTTGTTTCTCCTATTGTTGAACGTAAACCTACTATGGCCTATTGCCCTGAATGTGCCCCATTTCATCTGATCTTGGAAGCTAAGCAGGGCCCACCCTAGATACTATTTGGATGGGAGACCACCTGATAAAACTGGGTGCTATCAGATTGGGGGGGAAAAAAGGAGAAACAAAGAAAAAAGTGTGGGGAATAAAACAGGAAAAAAGAAAAGAAAGAAAAAAGGAAAAGAAATAAAATGAAAAAAGAAAAAAGAGAAAAAATAAAAATAAATGCATCAAGTGATCTAAATAGATTTAAAATTTTATTTCAATATCTTCCGTTTTATTTATTTGTTTGTTTGTTTACTTAAGAGAGAGAGAGAGAGAGAACAAGCAGGGGGAGGCTGGGGAGGGGCACAGAGGATCTGAAGCAGGTTCCCTGCTGACAGCACAGAGTCTGTTGCAGGGCTTGAACCCAGGATCCATGAGATCATGACCTGAGCTGAAGCTGAACCCTTAACAGACTGAGCCACCCAGGCTCTCCCGCACCATTTCTTAATTGTATTGAAATAGATATCTAGGGGCGCCTGGGTGGCTTAGTCGGTTCAGCGTCCGACTTTCGCTTAGGTCATGATCTCGCGTTTCGTGGGTTCAAGCCCCGCGTCGGGCTCTGTGCTGACTGCCAGCTCAGAGCCTGGAGCCTATTTCAGGGTCTGTGTCTCCCTCTCTCTATGACCCTCCCCTGCTCACGCTGTCTCTCTCTCTCTCTCCTAGAAATAAATAAAAATAAATTAAAAAAGAAATAGATATCTAAAAGGGAATAGATATCTAAAAGGGAATAGATATTTTTCTAAGGTCCTGATAGTTCCTCCAAACTTCTATACTCAGTCTCAAAATCTCAGTCAAGAGCAAATCCATCCTTCTGGCTGCTTGGGACAAAGTTTTTGAGTCATCCCACTTCCTTTCATATTGTAACCCAATGAGGATGCTCTTTGAGAGTGAGCTGAAAAGGGGAGTGAGGAAGAAGAGGCCTATCCTTTTGTAGAACCTGGCTTGGATTCTGCTCAGGCTGTGCCACCTGTTCTGGTTTCCTCCTCTCATGGCCCCTCTGATCACAAGCTGCTGTGGCTGCGGTGGCACTGATACATCAGGGCGGGTGAGTGGAGGGGTTCCCGGGCTGCCCTCCACTAGACCCCCACCCATACCCTCATGTATTGAGTGTCCCAAAATAGAGGAAGCTTCTTCCTGGACACTTTATCTTCCTGTAACCCTTATGTTAAATCTGGGGGCCCTGGAAGGTCACTCCCAACCTAAGGTCCTGAATCCAGGCCAGATCATATGGGGAAGTCCCCCATATGGAATCCAATGGGATACAGTATGAAAGTACGAAGTGTAGGTCTCACAATCCCACTGTCCCGGTGTGCTCTGCATGGAGGGAACCGCAGAGAAGAGCACAGCTGCAGAGATCAGAAGTCTCAGAGTGCATTCCAGCTGAGCCCTTCACCAGTGCTGTGACCTAAAACAGGTCCCCTCACTACCCTTGCTGTCGATTTTCTTGGGAATGCTAACAATCTCCCTCCCTGGGTGTTGTATTGGAAACTTGGAGAGTTCTCAGGCCCTAAGACCTCAAGGACCACCTGGTGCCAGGCCCTTGACTTCTCCGCAAGAAAGAATTCAAGGATTAGTCAGAGTAAAAAACAGAAAAAGCTTTATTACAAGGAGAGGGAGAGCGAGGGAGAGCATGCGCAGTCAGGAGGACCCAAGTCCTGCCGGGTGTATATGGGCCTCTGATTCTGAAAGGTGGTTATAATTTGAGGACTGAATATTCTAGTGAGGTGTTGTGAGTAGGTGTGGATTTCCAAGAACTCTACATGTCATTACACGTACTCGAAGGTAACGACTATGTGCAGGCGTAATCTGATTTCAGTATAACTGGGTATTGGTACGCATGCGTGCTGAAGGCTGGCAGCAACTTCACTTAGTCATAAGCAATTGGGTTTGAAATTACACCAAACCAATACATGACAATCCATTTCCCTGGTTAAGGTAATTAATTAATTTTGGAAAGTGAATCCATTAAACTGTTCAGCTGTGATAATTGGAGAAATGACGTGTCCTTTTGGATGTAAATGCCCAAGAGACCCTGTGTTTTTCTCTCTCTGTAGTACTAATCACTGTCAAGATTTAACTATTTTATTCATTTGTTGTCCATGTGGCCCCTCCCTCACTCTATTCCAGACTCACTGCATTATCCCCTCATCTTAGAGCCCCTTCTGGGTTCCCCAATTTAAAGTTGCCCCAAATCCTATTATCTTCCCTCTGCTTTGCTTTTTATTTATTTATTTTTTCAGGGTGCCTAGGGCTCTTTGACATTCTCTTCATCATTTATTTAGTTCTTTTTGAAGATACGATTCCATCAGTGGAACTAGACATCCTCTTCCTATCACTCAACATGGAATTATTTTGAACTAATACAATTAAGAAGCAGCAAAAACGAGAGGGGGGCCTGGGTGGCTGAGTCAGTTGGGCTTCCAAATGCTTGATTTCAGCTCAGGTCATGATCTCATGGTTCATGAGATCCAGCCCTGAGACCCCCTTTAGGGCTCTGCGCTTACATCAAGTGCAGTGCAACTGGAAAAGAGCCATGGGTATCTGAAGTCTGATTTAACTGTTGGTAATAAGGTTGAAGTGAGGAACAGGCAGGGAGGCCTTCATAATAGGGCTTAAGGCTGCCTCTGCCACTGGAGACCTTCAGTCTGGGATCCTCCTTCAAACTGCCAAGCATGTTCCGGGCCACATATTCTGAGTAACAAGTGGAGAGGCCAAGAAGATGACGGGTAATGGGTAGGATGGGGCTGTAGCTGTGGGAGCGCAGTTGTGAGAAGTATGGCAAAAAGAGTGATGTGCACATGGAGAGGGAGTGTGAATGCATGACCACAGGGCCTTCATCAGAGTGACACTGAGCCACTATGGTGGCGTCTAGTAAAAATGATCTGAGCAAATCCATGGTCATGGCCTGGAAACAGGGCTTGTTATGACCATGCATGGCAGGTCAAGAGCTTAGGGGCTGTCTGCTCACCTGCCAGTTGCTCAGGGCTAATACACTAATCACTGGAACCATGATGAGACAGCGAATTGCAGTAAGAAAATGTTTATTAGCTTCCACTAAGCGTGCACACATCTTTCGTCTGAAAGTCTCCATGGTATGATGTGTTTATTTGCTTCGTAGCCCTCTAGCATCAGCAACAATATTTTTGGCTCCGGGAGCAAGCTGAGCTTCGCTGGGTCTGAAAATTGTGTCCAAACACTTAGGTGATCAGCGGCAGAGAGCCCTACGCAACATACAATTCATTCTCTCAACAGATAACAGAAGCCCACCAGCATGTGCCTTTTACCAAAGCCCCTCCCAGCTGACCAGTGCTCTTTCCTGCAAAAAGCCCATATTTCGCGACCACGGAATTGTGGTGACTACTTTACCCAGAATGCCCCGAGAGGGGCGGCTGAGTCGCTCTCCAATGAGAGCTTCAGGAGAGGAGATATCCCGTGAAGCCAGTTCCGCGGGGCGGGACTTCCGGCTGTCTCCTGAGGGCGGCCATGTTGGCGCTCTTAGTTTGCTCACCTGGTAACAGGTTCTGGAGTTCGGCACCCATACTGACGTAACGGGACCGAGAAGGTGCGAGAGGACGCGCCGACCCTACTGCACAGTAAGGGATCCGGAGGTCGGCCACGTCTCCCGGGCTCCTTCGCGCCGGAGAGGGACACGGACCGCCCTCCCAGTTGTCCCCTCCGCCCACAGAGTCTGATGGCGGCGGCCGCGTGCAGAGAACGGGCTCAGGTGAACCCTCAGACCTCCGCCTCTCCCCACTCAGATCCTCAGGGTATCGCGTCCCTGCGACCCAGATCCCGGGGTGCGGACGAGGGAGGCGCTGCGGGGCGGGGATCACATGTCTGAGCGCTGGCGTGACGGGGTGCGGGAGCGGGCTCCAGGCGGGGGGCTACACGGTGCGGGGCGACACACTGGGGCACAAAGGTTGAACTGCCGGCCGCAGTCGTAGTGTTCAGGGCCGGCAAGAGTCCAGGGAGCTTTGAGTCCAGGGAACCCGCCGTGGTCTCTACTGTCCGAGGCTGGACACGCCCCCATTTTCCGTGGCTGCAGGGGCGCTTATGCCAACGTCACCAACAGGTGGGCGGTGCCCCAGTGCCTCACGGGCCCGACCCCCACCCTCTTGTCTTCCGGATGGTTGAGTCCCTGGGACTCGTAAGTGCCATTCCGTAAGTGGGACGCCCCGGCCAGGAGTTACATGAAGGCGTTTCCATTTGTGGCAACCGGGGTGGGGACGGATGTCCCCGGACCTGGTAGCACGGTGGTGTGCACACGCTTCAGAGTTACACTCAGCCGGACTGTTCAGGAAACCAGCAGCCTCTTGCTTAGACTAGGAGCGGACAGCAGGGGGACAGGAGTCAGGGCTGGAATGAGGGCCTGAGAAGTTGGGTGTCTCTTCTGGTGGGAAGAGGAGGCTTGGGTGTGAGCAGGGACGTGATAGTCCCAAGGTCCTCAAGGGATCCGTCCCGCTGTAGCATGCAGTGTGGACTCTGGGCTCGGGGAGGAGGCCGAAGATCAGGGTGGAGGCTACTGTCCTAGTCCAGGTGAGGGTTACTGGACCAGAGCCCTGGCTTAGGTGTCCTTGGAGTCCGGATGTGTGTTTAAAAAGTGACAACTGTATTTCCTACTGTGGAAGGTGACAGGGTGAAACAGAGGGTTCAGGAGTATTGCTGGAGTTTTTGTTCTAGATGGACGTGGAGATGGAAGCTCAGGCAGCTGAGAGGAGGAAGTTGTAATATGAGTGATGGGGGCAGGAGCTATTTTGGGAGCCCTGAGTGGATGCATTAAGTAGGCAGGCAGCACACAGCCCCGGAAATCTGGGGAGGGGCTCAGAAGGGAGACCTCTGAGCATGTCATGGCTCCTGTGTGAGCCCAGGCGAGTGAGCTGGGGGTCACGTCTGTGAGGGGCAGTCTTCGGGATACGGTGGTAAAGTGATTACGGTGCCAGGAAGCAGGAGGAAGAGAGGGAGTTAGGCCTGGATAAGTGGCTGCTGGTATGGCTGGAGAGAGGAGGGATGGAAGTGGCCATGAAGGGAGCGTGTTGGGGACAGGGTCCGGGGGCAGGTGGCCACGGAGCCCAGCAGAAGAGCACACATGAGAGGGACGCAGAGGCGTAGGAGCGATGAGCCCGAGGACGCAGCGAGGCCTGAGCGGGCGCTTCTCCACTCTGCAAACTCCGCCAGGATTTGTGAGGACGTTAGTGCGACCGGGGGGGGGGGGGGGGGGGGGGGGGGGGGGGGGGGGGGGGGGGGGGGGGGGGCGGTCATTCATGCTGGAGGCTGCGGTCGTCTGTGACCTGCTGACGTGGTCACCTGCGGGAGTCACTAGGTCCTGTGGGTCTGAGGCACGGTGACCTGCACAGAAGGATCTTGGTGCTGCCACCACTAGTAGAAACCGTGGTAGGTCTAGAGTGTGTCGGATCCTGTGTGTCTACACCGAGCGCGCCCTGGAAGCTGGCGCTCACTGTGGTGTAAGGCCTAAAGCGAAGACCCCCCTCCGATGCCCTGCCTCCGTGTGGCGAGTGGTGGAGGGACTCACTTGGGCTGAGTGTAAGCTCTCCTCGTCCCTCTTCTGCTGCTGGTAAGGTCTCCGGGTGACACAGGCTTCTCCTCGAAGTTGCATGTCCTGCTTATCCCTTCATGTGGGTTTCAGTTCCCCACCGGCCCGTGGAGGTGCTCAGACAAGCCAGTCCCGTCCTCTGGCAGGAAGCAGGGGGCACCCCACCCTCTTGGTCCCGTGAAGCCTGCATCTTCCGGCTCCTGGTTGTCCACTCTTTTTCAGAGCACCGCCCCTACGTGGGCCTGTATGGGGTGCGGTGTCCCCTCCCAGACAGTGAATACGTGTGACTAATAAAGTGCCACCCGTCTCCTCCGTGCGGGGTCGGGTGCCGTGTGTTTAGTCATCCCCATAACCCTAGGAGGGGGCTCTCGCCCTCACCAGTGGAGGTGAAGAGGAGGTGATGAAAACACAAGCAACATCTGGGGAGGCCACGGAGATTTCTACACTGCGGTACAGTGAGGCGGTGGTGACCACAGGCATGTGGCTGTGGGATGCAGTTTCAAGAACTGTGTGTACGTAGGGAGGGAATGTGCCTGATGTCGTGAGGACCTGGTGTTGAGACTTACATGACCGTGGCCGCCACGGCAGCATAGCCTGGCATGAGTGGGTGGATCCCTCTGTGCCAGGTCCACAACACAGACATGGACTTGTCCACGTGCCTCTCGTGTGGGCAGAACCCTGTGATGAGTGGGCCCATGAGGCGAGAGAGGTGCCTTGTCTCCCAGCATCGGGGCCTGGTTTCTCGTCTGAGTTGGGAGATTGGAGGAGGATGGCCAGAGGGTAGAGGTGGGTGGGGGAAGAGACTGTGGGTCTTAGAAAGGAGCTTTTTGTGGTTTCATCTGTCCCCATCATGCCAGGGCAGGGTGACCTTTGAAGACGTGGCCGTGTACTTCTCCTGGGAGGAATGGGGTCTCCTTGATGAGGCTCAGAGATGTCTGTACCGGGATGTGATGCTGGAGACCTTGGCACTTATAACCTCCTTGGGTAAGACCCTCACACCCACCCCTGTGCCCTGAGCTAGTCTCTGCCCTCCCCTTGTCCCCAGCAGCAGTCTCTACCTCGGGACCGCGAGCACTGCTTCCTCCCCCAGTTCCCTGGCTGGGTGCTGTCGTAGGTGAAGCTGGGTCTGTGCGCTGCCCTCCTGCCTTGAGCGGCGCCAGGTCCAGCTCTCCTGCTGACGTGCAGGGAAGAGGGTGGAGTCTTGCCGTGAACCTAACGGATCCCAGCTTAATACCCTCCTCCTCTGCCTGCGTGACTTCATCCACGTGCAAGGTAGCTGATGCTCCAGGCCAGCTTCCTTTCTCTAGCTGACGCTTTGTCGGGCCTGCCTGGGCCGGGAACTGCTTTCTGTGCCAGCGTTACTACTTCTGAGGACCATGGGCTGTTCCCAGAAGACCTTCTTCCGGAGTTGTCCGGGGACTATTTAGTGCTCTTCCCCGTAGGCTGTCACGTGCTGAGCTGTTTCAGGCTACTGGTGGCCACTCATCCTGTCCTGTCTTTCCCCTTAGTACTCGTACCACAAAGCTGCCGTGTCCTTGCTCATGGTGGGAGTGGGGCTGGATCGGGGAGCCCGTGGAGGTCCCAGGAGGTCTGGTGATGGCCCAGACGGAGCCAGGCCCTGCAGAGTGGCACCCGGAGGAAGGCGACGTCAGTGCTGGGTTCAGATCACACCCACAGCCTGTTCTGTTTGAGTAATAGTTTGAAGCCAGTGGCCACATCATTTCTGTCCTTCCTTCCCCTTCGTGGCGATTTGCCAAATGTCAACCCTGTTCCTTGTCAGTCATACTCTTCCTTCCAGCCCGGGACAGTTCTGGGCTCCATGTGGCACCTGTTTTTCTCACCCCTCCACCTGCATCACTGTGCACAGTGGCCAACGGTTGTGTCTATCATGAGGTGTGGCCATGTTCTTCAGCCGTCCCCAAACGCCACCTGCCCCGTAACAGTCCTGTTTCCTTGGGCCTGGACACACCCTTCTGCACGGCATTTGTGTCACCAGGAACAAGTTCCTTTGGAAAGTTGTTGTCTGCTGGGGCTCATGGGAGGCTCAGTCGGTTAAGCGGCCGACTTCAGCTCAGGTCATGAACTCGCAGTTTATGATTTCGAGCCCCACGGCGGGCTCTGTGCTGCCAGCTCGGAGCCTGGAGCCTGCTTCGAATTCTGTGTCTCCCTCTCTCTCTGCCCCTGCCCTGCTCATGCTCTGTCTCTCTGTCTCTCAAAAATAAATAAACATTAAAAAAACAAAAAGGGGGGCGCCTGGGTGGCTCAGTCGGTTAAGCTTCCGACTTTGGCTCGGGTCATGATCTCACGGTTCGTGGGTTCGAGTCCTGCGTCACGCTCTGTGCTGACACCTCAGAGCCTAGAGCCTGCTTCGAATTCTGTGTCTGCCTCTCTCTGACCCTCCCCTGTTCATGCTGTCTCTCTCTCTCTCTTTGTCTCTCTCATAAATGAATAAAACACACACAAAAAAAATTTAAAAAAAAAAGCTGTTTGCAGAGGACTGAATTGTAGACTGTTTCTCTCCTCTCTGTCCTGCCACCTGCTTGGCCTTCACCTCCGGGGGGGCCTCCCCCATCCTGTGCGCTCTGTGGCCCACTCGAGGTAAGCAGCCCCGTCCTGCGGACCGTCCGGTGCACGGGTTCCTGGGTTTCTGAGACACATGGTTGTAGCTTGCGTAGGAGCCTCTCCCTCCCATCAAGGTCAGCCTGCACTTCACCAGCATTTCCTGCTTTCAGGCTGTCGTCATGGAGCAGAGGAAGAGGAGTCCCCTGAGCCCGGTGTTTCTGTCCAAGGAGGGTCACAGGGCAGGACTTCCAAGGTGGCTGTGTCCTCCCAGAAGGCTCATCCTTGGGAGGCGTGTGGCCCGGACTTGAGAGAACTTTTACATTCGACTGAGCACCACCCAACGCCTGGTGGACAGAAACTCCACAAGATGGGGGCGTGTGACCAACAGGTGGATTTCGATGCAGACCTTCCGCACCCGCAGCAGCGCACTGGAGAGACCTGCTTCAGGAGCAACAGGGACGGAGCCTCTCCCTGGAAGGACCACACTTTCTGTGTGTCGGGGAAGTCCTTTTCCTGTGGCGAGGTTGTGAGGGACTTGTTGGCGAGCTCGAGATGCCTCCAGGATCGGGCCCCGCACACCGGGGAGAAGTCAGACAGGAGAGCTGAGTGTGGGGCGGCCTCTCACGGAAGGAGGACTCAGTGCCGCCGGGGAGAAGGCACCAAGGACCCCACCTGCAGACACACGCTTGTTGGTCACCAGACACACCTCAGCAGAGAAAGATGCTTCATGTGCAGTGAATGTGGGAAATCTTTTAGCAAAAGCTACAGCCTCAGTGACCACTGGAGAGTGCACACTGGGGAAAAGCCTTATGAGTGTGGGCAGTGTGGGAAGTCCTTTAGGCAGAGCTCCAGCCTCATTCAGCACCGGAGGGTTCACACTGGAGCAAGGCCTCACGAGTGTGACGAATGTGGGAAATTATTTAGCAACAAGTCCAACCTCATTAAACATCGGAGAATTCACACTGGAGAACGGCCGTACGAGTGCAGCGAATGCGGGAAGTCCTTCAGCGAGAGCTCTGCGCTCCTTCAACACCGGAGCGTGCACACTGGAGAGAGGCCTTATGAGTGCAGCGAATGTGGAAAGTTCTTTACCTACCACTCCAGCCTCATAAAACACCAGAGAGTTCACTCAGGATCAAGGCCCTATGAGTGCAGCGAATGCGGAAAATCCTTTACTCAGAATTCCAGCCTCATCGAACACCGTAGAGTTCACAGCGGAGAAAGGCCTTATAAGTGCAGCGAATGTGAGAAATCTTTTAGCCAGAGCTCCGCGCTTCTTCAGCATCGGAGAGTTCACACTGGAGAGAGGCCGTATGAGTGCAGTGAATGTGGGAAGTTCTTTACTTACAGTTCCAGTCTCTTAAAACACCAGAGAGTACACACTGGATCGAGGCCTTATGAGTGCCCTGAATGCGGAAAATCCTTTACTCAGAACTCTAGCCTCATTAAACACAGCAGAATTCACACTGGAGAAAGGCCTTACGAGTGCAGCGAATGTGGGAAATCCTTTAGCCATAGCTCCAGCCTCATTAAACACCGGAAAGTGCACACTGGGTAAAGGCTTTAGGAGTACAGTGAAGTTGGGAAACATTTACCCGTGTCTGCCATTTCATGGGCCACTTAAATAGTCACACCAGAAAAAAACGCTTCATGAGTTTTGCATGTGGCAAAGTATTTGCCTTCAAGTCCAAGCTCCTAAAACACCACAGTGTCACATTAGAATGTGGCAGATGGGAGAAGTGGCTAACCGAAATCTAGGCTCAGTGCATTTCAGGGAACTCACGCTGAAGAACGGCCTTAGACATGAGGTGAATGTGAAATGCCTTCAGCCAAAGGACTTACCTCATCGGAGATCACACATTTCAAATGGGAGAACTACCTTAAGTGTGCAGGTGTATAGCATTTATGCGTTCAGTGTGCCAGCGCCGGACAGCCTTTCTGAAGGTGCCATTTGCCTGTGCTGAACATAATACGTTCCAACACCCACATAAACCCCAGGGGTGTGGCAGCTGCAGTGCACTCTGTTAACCTGCCCAGGGCCAGGCCCCAGTGTCAGGGCACGTCCCAGGTGACCATGAGCAGCCTGGGTACTTCCTCCTTCCACTTTCCTCTCTGAGGAGGTAGGGCATGGGTCCCACCCGGTTTTGTCCTAGAGGCATGTTGGTCTTTTGAAAAGGTGGGCTTCATGTTTCAGGGCTATCACTGTCATCGTGACTCAGGATGGAATTTCACAGCCTCCCGAGTCACCGGCCCAGGGGCAGTCAGCCCCCCAATTCCCTTGCTTCTACAATAATAAAGGTCTTACTGTTTGAGTCCCTGTTGATCTTGGGGAGTCTATTTACTGTGTGCGTGTGTGACAGTAACTGTTTGCTCGCGTGAACATGTGAACCGATTCATGTGCCTTAGAAGGAACAGTGTGATGGCAGAAGATAGCTCTCCAGTCTGGGTTTAGTTTGCATGGATGCTTGAGGCCTTTCAGGGAAGACTGAAAGACTCTGTGATCCTAATGTATAGCTGGATGCCAGGATATTTTGTAGGGCCAGAGTTTCGACGCGAGGAGGGGCAGTTGTTGGCTGCTGTGACAACCTTCAGTGCTTCTAAGCGACATAAGTTGTTGTCTTGTTCACAGGGGATATTGATGGTATAGTGCCCAGTGCTCTTGAAGGAAATCTATTCCCCAGGACTGGCAGCACAGCCACAGGCCTTGATGTCCTGAATTCTGTAGGTAACATCGCTGGTTTTAGGACTGTACGGGCTAGGGGCATGATCGCTGTGAACAAAATGGATTAATAGAGAGTGCAGGAGACCAGCACACCGGTTGGAGTGTGCCTCTCTCAGAAGGGCATCCGCAGTGTTTAGGCCCTATGACCTGGAAGGATGCACAAGTACAGACACCCTCAGGACCTCCAGAGGGTCTGTCTTTTGTAGCTGAAGCCCTGTCAGAGAAAGTAATCTAAAGTTTTGTGGATTCCTGTGTCCCCTCTGGACTGTTCACCAAAGTCCGTTATGGATGCCAACAAAACAAGGACAGAGACAGGAGAGATCTCTTGGTTCAACAGTGAGGGCTTGGTGACGAGCCAGTGTCCTGCTTGAATGAAAAGGAGACACCTTCATTGCTCACCTGATCTTGCTGCCACCAGTGCAAGTGCTTCCGATGAGGACACACATGGTAGAGTCAGTGTGGTGGCCCAACTTGATTTTCTGAAGTGTAGACAATCCAGACTTTTAACTTGAACCTTATTTTTTCAGTTCCAGTAAGGTACAGATGACATGCAATGGTCATGAAATCGTGCAGTTTGATGTTTTGACATTCATATAATCTATGAAAGCATCAATCATGATAAACCTGTCTATCACCCGCGTATTTATTTGTGTCCTGTAATAATCCGTCCTCGAGGCAGCCGTTGAGTGGCTTTACATTATAATTGAGGACTTTGCATTTTCTAGAATTTATATGATTGAAGTCTTAAAGTGTTTAGTCTGTTTCCTTGGGTGCCCTCATGTAGCACATTTATTTTGGAATCTATCAGTGGTGACTGTATGAGCAGTGAGCAGTTCATTCTCATACTGCTGAGAAGTATGTCCTGTCAATATGGTGCTGTTTATTTATTTATTTATTTATTTATTCCTCTGTTTATGGATATTTGTTTCCAGGTTCAGCTGCTGCAAGTAAAAGTGCTGCAGAAAGTGGGTACAGTTCTTGGTACAGGGTCCTCTCTTGTGTTAATACTGGAGTCAGAGTGTTGGTGAATGTAGGACCCCTTAAGAGACTCCAGATTGTCATCTAAATTGATTCATCCTTTTGTGTTCCCACCAGCAGTGTATGAGAGTTCCATTTCTCTGGTATCTTTGCTAGGAGTGGGTACGGTTAGTCTTTTTAGATGCGAACCCAGTTAGTAAATGTGGAGCAGTATCTCACTGTGGTATAGGTGCTTTCCCTCCTGTTTCATGATGTTGAGCAAAAAGCTCATGTACAAGAAATAGGGGAGGAGCCTGGATGTGAACGAGTCAAGAAGCCACATCTACACCTTAGCAAATTCTAATAGACAAAAGGCCTAGCACTTTCTCAAGAGAACAGTAAAGACTAACAAGTGGTCAGGGGCACATATAGGTTAGAAGCCTTGCAGATTTACCTAATACTTCCCTAAGACTAAATTTCCCATCCTGATTGGAACCAATCTGTATTAAATAAAGAACACAGCTGACAAAACCAGCGCTTTAACTGATCTGTCATAGTTTCAAATGTTTTTGGCATCATACAAGAGCATTTCCATTTTAGAAACACATTCTGAAGGGATCGGGTGCGTAATGACATCACGTCTCGGATCAAATTTATACTAAGTGCATGCGGGTAGATGAAAGGAATGACCATAAAATGACAGGACTTCCTAATAGTCTTTTCTGTTTTGGGAGTACATTTGGAAATGCCGTTATAAAGGGTAGAATATGTCACGTTACAAGGTATCTCATATAGTGAGAAGGATAAATTGTAAAGGAGAGAAGGAAGTTTTTAATGCCGTAAGCATGTAAATGGCAAAATGTTTGTTCTCA